ATTGCTAAGAAATGTTTGTGGTAATATTGAATATTGTTTGGACAATTAAATGCTGATATCTTGTACACTGAATAAATAATTTAAAGATAACCATAAAAAAAAAAATTTAAGTTAGTGAACAATGCCCTGTAAGTTTAAAAAAAAAAAAAAAAAAACCCCGAAATCCTAGTTACAAGATGCAGACTAAACTCTGCTAAATGAGCCTCTTTGGAGAGCATTTAGCATGACTCACTACACATTAAGCATTCAGTATTAGCTGAGCTGACGTGCTTACCGTTTGCATGGACTGGAATGGAGCTGCATTTACATTGATTCCACTGCTATGTAAAGGTTTGCTCGTCCCAGCCTGAAATACCTGAGGCTGAGAAGCAGCGGGAAGGGATGAGGATGCTGTAGTCTGGTCTGTATTTAGAGAGATTGTTGCCTAAACAAAAGTAAATAAGTAGATGCACTTTAGTGGTAAACTAACCTAAACGTTTTATAGATTAATAAATCCAACTACTCCATAAATAAAAAGACTGAAAAAAAAATCATTATATTAATCCCAAAGTGCCTCTGCCCAGCACAGGAGTAAGTACGATCAACTCATTCAGCTTAGTTCATAAGGCCTGGTTAACGGAACTTGCCTGCATCTGATCGATTGGTTCCTTAGGTGGCCGCTGCTCTGCTGCATGCGAGGGCTGGTACAAGGGCTGAGGTGCTGCGTACCCCTCACTTGTGGATGAAACCAAAGGAACCTACAAACAAGAAAGCAAAGCTTTGTTCTTCCTCCAAAACTAACTGGCCAGAACAAGCCAGCTCTAACAGAGACAACTAAGAGATACATATATCTGTACCTTCTCTCTGCACTCACAGGCTACACAACCTGATGCACATCTATGGTTAAATCTACCTGAATCTAACGTGAAGTTCCCTAGCTTCAAAGATGCCAAGAATTGTTCTAAATTTTACAATTATATCTAAAATGTCTTCCGAAATTCAACTCAACTTGAAATTAGAACACTCCTTTGATTTTAATAAACTACTATAAGTAACACAACAATTTAAAAAGTTATCAAAGAAAAATAAATGTAATGGGGAACTAAAGGCTGGCAACTACCAATGCTAATGAATATATAACAGAAGACTTGGATACTGCTCAAATGCAGACCTCCACCTACTTAGAACAAGCTTAGCAAAAGCATCAGGGACCGCGGTTCAATCCCTCAGCACCACATGCCAGCCAGCCCGCCCCCTGGTGGGCTGAGCTGGC